TGAGTCCCTCATTAATAAATCCCTCATTAATTAATCTCTAATTAATAAATCCTCATTAATTTTGTCATTAATCCCTCATTAACGAATCCAGGAAAATTTGGAATTCGTGAATTCAATTCCTCAAAAATTCCCCAAAAATCTCCCGGAATTTTTTGGCTTCAATTCCATAAAAAAATTCCCCAAATTCCCCCAACAAATCCCTGAATTCCAACCCCCCCAAACCCATCCCCAACTCCTCCCTCTCATTTCTCCCCCCAATCCCTCAAATCCCCAAAAAATTTGGAATTTTTAATTCCCGAACTCTCCAATTAATTTTATTTTCCTTTTAATTTGTTTCATTTATTTTTTCCCAGAATTCCCCGCCATGCGCCGCCGCCGCCGCTCCGCCATTTTCCCGCCATTCCGGAACTTTCCACCCCCGATCCCTTCCGGCCCTTGAGCTCCTCCACTATCCCACAATCCCTTGCTGCCGCCAGTATCCCACAATCCCTTGCTTCCTGCCCTCCACTATCCCACAATCCCTTGCTTCCTCCCCTCCACTATCCCACAATCCCTTGCTTGCTCCCCTCCAATATCCCACAATCCCTTGCTTCCTCCTCTCCGCTATCCCACAATCCCTTGCTTCCTGCCCTCCACTATCCCACAATCCCTTGCTTCCTGCCCTCCACTATCCCACAATCCCTTGCTTCCTGCCCTCCACTATCCCACAATCCCTTGCTGCCGCCGCCATGATGAATTCCCACCGCTCCGATTTTCCCGCCCTTCCCAGGATGGGCGTCCGCGCCCGCGCCGCCGAGTGGCCTCCGAAAACCAGTCCTCCAAATTCCCACAATTCCTCCTTCCCGCCCCGCCGAGCCCTCCAACACCCCAAATCCTCGGAATTCCTACAATTCCCAGAATTCCCGCAATTCCCAGAATTCCCCGCGGCGCCGCCATTACGCCAGCGCAGCAGCAGCGAGGCGACTCTGGGAGAATGCGACGGCGACGAGGCGGCGGAAAAACGCGGCGGAGGCGGCGGGATTTTCCGCGAGTACGGCAGCACCTCGTCCATAGACGCGCAGGGAATCCCCGAGCAGAGCTTCCACCGAATTCTCGACGAGTTCCGCGCCAAAAAAAAACCGGAAAACCGCGACGAGCCCAAGGAGAAAGCGCGGCGGCGCTGCCTGAGGGGAGACGACTCCATCTTGAAAAAGCTCCGCTCTCCCCGGCACGACGGCGACGCCGAGGAGGCGGCAATCGCGGATTTGGCGAAATCTTGGATTTGCAGGAAGGGTTTTGCTCATTTTGACGTTCAGAGTCTTTTTTTTGAAGCGGTTTCGTTCGGTACTTGCGCCTCTCAACGTCGCAACACCACGACCGGAGCTTCGGCCGCTTCGGCGGGATCCGATCCCAATTTTTCCAGCACTGAGGATTTAAATTGCAAAGAAAATTTAGAGCAGGATTTAGGGGACAACACCAGCAACGAGCTCCTCTTGAGCTGCCCCCATTTCCGCAACGAAATCGGCGGCGGTTCCGGCGAACGTGACGTCAGCTTCGCCAAATCGGCACCGGCTCCGGACGCGCCCGAACGATGGAACGGAGGGAGAGGGAGCAACGGGGGAATTTCCGTGCTGGAATTCCCCAAAGAACAGCGCAGGAACCCCGAGAGGCTCCGAAACTTCAGCCTGGAACACGCGGATCTGGGAGCTCGGTACTACCGGGATTACTTCCATGGAAAAGGTACGGGAATGTTCTAGAAAGTTCCGGAATTTGGGGGATTTTTCGGTGATTTTTTCGGGATTTTTTGGTGATTTTTTGGTGATTTTAAGAGAATTTTGGGGTGATTTTTAGGGAATTTATAAGTAATTTTTTGGTGACTTTAAGGGAATTTTTTGGTGAGTTTTTTGGATTTTTTGAGGATTTTTTGGTGATTTTTTAGGATTTTTAGGCAATTTTTTTGGTGATTTTTAGGGATTTTTAAGGGATTTTTTGGGGATTTTTTAGAGACTTTTTGAGGATTTTTTGGGAATGTTTTGGTGATTTTTAGGGATTTTTTAGGGACTTTTTGGTGATTTTTAGGGATTTTTTAGGAATTTTTTAGAGATTTTTTAGGGACTTTTTGAGGATTTTTAGGGAATGTTTTGGTGATTTTTTGGGATTTTTTCAGGATTTTTTCAGGATTTTTTTGTGATTTTTTGGTGATTTTTTGGTGATTTTAAGGGATTTCTTAAGGGATTTTTTGGTATTTTTTTAGGGATTTTTTGAGGATTTTTTGGTGATTTTTTAGGAATTTTTAGGTAATTTTTTGAGAATTTTTAGGCAATTTTTTTTGGTGATTTTTAGGGATTTCTAAGGGATTTTTAAGGGATTCTTTAGGGACTTTCTGGTGATTTTTCGGGATTTTTTTTGTGTTTTTTAGGGATTTTTTAGGGGTTTTTTGGTGATTTTTAGGGATTTTTTGGGAATTTTTTAGAGATTTTTTTAGGGACTTTTTGAGGATTTTTAGGGAATTTTTGGGGGATTTTTACGGATTTTTTTTGTGATTTTTAGGGACTTTTTTGGGGTTTTTTGAGGATTTTTTTTTTAATGATTTTTCAGGAATTTTTGGGGGATTTTTCGGGAATTTTTAAGGGATTTTTTTGGTATTTTTTTAGGGATTTTTTCGGGATTTTTTGTTGATTTTTAGGGATTTTTTTGTTGGTTTCTGGGGATTTTTTTGGTGTTCTTTAGGATTTTTTTTCGGGATTTTTTTGGGGATTTTTCGAGGATTTTT